ATACAGGTACGTCGCATGTTGCCAAGTATTTTGGGAGCTCACCTTTCTTTGCCATTGCTTGGATCTTGGCTGGCGAACAGTGATTGAACTTGTGGTGGTACTTGAGGAACTCAGCTGCATGATTTTGCTTTTGAGTGTCCTCTTCGTCGTCCTCAATCTGTACTGGTACTGAATTTTCGTTCTTGTCCATATCAAGGTCGAAAGTCATTGGTGTTTGACGCATTAGAGGTTCGGGATCATCTTCAGATGGTTCAGATTCTCCCTCTAGATGGGAAGTTGGTGTCGTGATTTCGTCATTGTCATGCTCGTCATCACTGACCATCGCTGCCTCCATTGCGGTGGGTGCTTCAAGGTCTTCTTCAAAGAGGTCGTCTTCCTGGTTGGCTTCAGCGCATTGGGCACAATGGGCATAGAAGTTGTCGTACCCTGGTGCCAAATCAAAGTTAAAAACATTTGTTTTTGGGTCAACTGCAATGGTCTTTCGATACTGACACCTGTCTCCCCATTGCAGTGTACAGAGCTCGCCTTCTGTTATTTCAATGAACTGTCCAAGGCCTCGTTTCCTGAGAACTTGGGAGATATGCTGTGGGCTCAGCAATCTCATCTTGCCTAAAGGTACATAGAATGAATTTGGGATTCGGAATGTGTGTTCCTTTCCGTCATCATCTAACCATTTCCAAACCAGTGTTCCAGCCATGACATTGATGGTCTTTCGGTTTCCGAAGCCTTTGATGACATGCTGTGTTTTTTGTAGATCTTTGAAGTGGTACTCCTTGTCGGAGATGCAGAAGGAGCAGCGGTTGTTGATGCCGATTGGCAGTGAATCGGTGTCGAAGCGAGCTGGATGGTGTGTGCCTCCCTCTGACTGAGTGCGGTGTGCCAATACCGAGTTGGCAATGAGCGCTCGTTGGATTTCTCGTGGGATTCGAGAGCGTTGGATGCGAGACATCCACTTATAAGAGATCCACTGATAGCTAGACTTGCGAGTCCGGAGCTGTCGGTGGAGCTTGAATCGGGCACGTAAGTTTTGAGTACGTTCCCTGACCTTTTTATTCCATTTTCGTCCTGTGAGTCCAAACTTTTTGGCTAGTCGAACCCATGCATACCGTGTCCACCTTTGAGATTTGGGAACATAGTATGGCACAGAGTCATCACGGGGCCATCCAAAAAGAACAACACAAAGTGTTACAGCTGTGGCAAGGAGGTAGAGCAGGAGGCGTTTCCACCAATTAGCGATCCACTGAGACAGCAGACCCCACCAAAGCCACGACCAAACAACAATCCACCCTTGAGTGCTCTTGAGGAGCTCTCATTCTTCATTGGTATCGGAGTCGGACGGGGCGTAATTCTCGGCCATGGCGGCTCTGAGCTTGATCTTGTTCTTTTGTTGTTTTTGTTTTGATCTTGGTTGCATTGATCCGGAGTGTGGCGGCAGTATTTCTTGAGGGCTTCGCACCAATACCTGGAGTCACCGTCAACATACTTTGCTTTAAAAGTTTGTCTTCTGCTTTTGGCGCAGTGGACTTCCATGCAGGTACGTTCAAAGATTTTTGCTTATTGTTGGTTTTGCCCTTGCCTTTCTTCTTACCACCTCCGGACTTCTTGTCATTGTCTTTCTTCTTTCCGCTTTCAGACTTCTTGGAGTTTTTGATTTGCTTGAACTCGGCCTTCAGCGAGAGGATAGCTTGTTGGTTTTCGTCAGGGCGATTCCAGGTTTGATCACGAACACGATTCTTGTAATAGTTTTCAGCGTCTTGCATGAGCTTGGGTTGATTGGTGGTCTCGGAGTTGTCCTCATGTTTTTCCTCTTTTCTCTCAATGTATGACACAAATGACTTGTCAGATGCAGCCTTGTACCCTTCGAACAGGTGGATCAGGACATCTTTGGACTCCTCTCCA